CTCCTGGTGGTGCTCAGGGGACTATATGGGATGCCGGGAATTAAACCCTGGATTGGCCGTGTGCCAGGCAAACGCTGGGTCAGTGGGTCAGCTGGCTCCGGGTCACACAGCCAAGGCAAGCAAGGCCCTATGTGCTGAACTCTCTGGCCCCCATGTATGTTTTAATGGAGCTTGTTGAAAACTTGTGGTAGTTTCAGGCTCCCGGCTCCGTGCCATCAGGAATCACTGATGAATACAGCCAGGCCAGTGCTGGGTGCTATAGGGGAGAGTTGGGGGGGAGGAGGGGATGAGTTCAGTGTCATATGACTTGGGTCTGGCCAAGCTGCAGGTGGAGACATGGGGGCACATGCAGAGTGCTGTGTGACTGTGAGACTGGAGACTCAGAGAACTGGTCTCTGAGTTGGAATCTCCGAAAGGCAAGTCCCCGTCCTCCAGTGATTGCCACATGGCCTGCTTTGAGGCTCATGGCCGGATCCCAGCTCCTCGTGAGACGCACAGGGAGTTAGTGGCTCAGCCAGGAGCAGAGCAGGTGAGCAGCATCCGGGCCCCTTCTCCATCATACCAGCCCACAGCTTGCAAGGGCTGTCCAGGGACTGACTGCCTGGTGCAGGGACCGCATCTCAGCCTGGTTTGACTTCTACAGGAGAAACGGCCACTCCAGTCCAAACTCCCCCAAGGCCCCATGGCCACAGCATACTGATGTTCTGCCCTTTATGTTTCAGAACCCGCTGGAGGGAAGAGGCTGACCACCCTCCCTCTGCGTCCACTCTGAGGACTGCCCGTCTAGCAGGCCCCTGCCCCAGCTCTGGGGCAGAATCGTGCATATCTGTGAGAGAGGAAATGAACCAAGACAACAGTGGAGTGGAGGGAGTGGCCTGGAGGATCGAACTTCCTGGGCAAAGCGGAGTTTCACACACTGGAGCCACCTAGGCGGTGATTGGGGCTGGCCCTGAACCACCTTGTAAGGGCAGGAACCTCCACAATTCCTTGGAGAACAGAGACCCATGGTGCCATACAGAACACACAGGACAGACCCGCAGTGCTGTACAGAACACATAGGGCACACACCCATGGTGCCACACACCCATTGGTGCCACACACACAGGGCATGGAGGACTATTTTATCATGGCTATATATTTATTTGTTTATCTGAGTTATTTTGCAATGCTCAGGGTTTGCTCCTGGCTCTGCACTCAGAAATCACTCCAAGGAATGCTTGGGGAACCAGATAGGATGCCAGGTATCAAACCTGGGTCAGCATGTGCAAGGCAAAATGCCCTCCCAGCTGTATTATCTCTCCAGCACCCACTGCTTTGTTTTTAAACTTCTCTGTGAAAAGTTCTCCAAAGTTGCAAACTACTTGAGAATCTTCTAACTTCACTTTCACTGGAATGTGAACATCCTTCAAAGCCAGAGTGCAGGCATCAGAGCCCAGAATGACTGGTTCAAATACTCCTGACAGGGGCTGGAGCAATAGTACAGTGGGTAAGGTGTTTACCTTGAATGCGGTCGACCCGGATTCGATTCTCAGCATCCCATATGGTCCCTGGAGTGATTCCTGAGTGCAGAGCCAGGAGTAACCCCTGTGAATCACCAGGTGTGACGAAAAAAGCAAAAAAAAAAAAAAAAAAGATTATTCCTGACAAAGTTCTGACTCTGTCAACTGTACATCATATCACTGACCTTGGGGGCCATGAAAAATTGGGCAACCATGAAAGGTTTCTGGGTGTGCAGCAGAGACCATTAGTCAGCTCAGAATCAACAGGGTCATCAGTCCCAGGTTTTTTTTTTGTTTGTTTGTTTGTTTGTTTTTTCAGTACTCAGCTGTGCTGCATTTCTAGGACAAAAGGAAGTTGCAAGTGGGAAGGGTTGAAGGTCTGATCTCAGTCACAGCCCTGAGTCAGACTTTGACAGCTGCTGTCCAGGGCGCCTCTTTCAGGCAGCCCCCCGGCACATGGACTTGGCATGTCTCCTTGGTCTCTTCCTATAGGGGACAGTCCCCTAGTCTTTGCAGTTCATGGCCTGGATACTAGAACAATGTCTCCCCCACCCTGAGGTTTGTGTGCTTTTTCCTCAATTTCAGGTGCAGGAATGTGTGTTGGGCAAAAACCCCATCATGGTGAGGTGTGCAAAAACCCCGTCCTGGTGAGGTATGCAAAAACCCTGCCCTGGTGAGGTATGCAAAAATCCCAGCTGGGTACTGCATTGGATCTGGAAGCACTAGATGCCGATGTGACTCATTACGTGGAACCGATGGATTAATGGCTCCTTTTAAATTTTAGCACATGAAACCACTTTCCTTTTTGGGGGACGGGGCCACACCCAACAGTGCTCAGGGTTTCATCCTGGCTCTGCTCAGGGATCACTCCAGGTGGTGCTCATGGATCATGCCAGGTGGTGCTCAGGGATCCCATGGAATTCTAGGGATTGAACCTGGGTCATCTGTGTGCCATCCACTCACCTCTCCACTCCACTGTACATGTCTCCAGCTCCCCCATG